ATTAGGTTCTTGGCGCAGCATACTTCTACCACTAGCTTTCGTGTGCTCCCCTCCGTCATCTTTAACGGCCACGGTGAAATCTCCGTCAGGATTTCAGTCCTATTTCAGAAAGGGGAAATTTTGAGGGTTGAGGGCTTTGGAGTCGACCGTTAACCGGTTCTTGGAATTCAATTTGTGATGGTAGTGCCACTGTGCTGGGAAGAGCGAAAAAGGCGCTCTTTTTATAAAGGGCAGCGGGGACCCGCCACGTCAGCAAGAGTACACGTCGGACTCGTGCGGTACACGTGTACTTCCTCGATAGCCGAGCTCGGAGGCAGCAGGGACAACGTGGTTGGCTGAGCGCTCTCACAGGTAATGGGTCCCAATTTGCAAGTGGCTTTTATGTGGCGGAGAAAATAAATAAGAGCTGCGTATCTCTGATCATTTCGCAAGAAGCCATCGGCGGTGGGGGGTCACGGCGTAGTCAATGCGGATATTGGGTACACGGAGCGGGTAAAAGGGGACTCTGGGTTTGGTTGGACGCTGTTGGTTTTAATCGGGGAATGGGTCCGAGTGAGGTTTGGGTTCTGAGAATATGAACGTTGGGCTTGTTGTCGAGTGTGTTTTATAATGGGCCTCCCTTGTGAGGTTGCACGTGTAGGATGATTACACATTAGAAAATGTTCCACCGACCGTGAGTGTTTCAGAGATTTAAGATGCTTGGTGTCTATCTTGAATGTTGATAAACAAAACCTAATCTTTTTAACATGATACGGAAAAAGAGATTACATCATTCCAGAGAGGGAAAATACAGTAGAAGAAGCGTATAAGGAGCGGACATTTGTCGTCATCTACCAAACTAAATCTGATCGCATTTCCCCCAACTAAAAGACAAAAATAACTAACCATAGGTAAGCTCTGTCTATAACTCACAAAAGGTATAACAACTTAGTTTGAGGATTTCTTCTAACAACAAAATGAAATCCAGGTGGAAAAATGAAAAAGCAACGACCAAGGAACATGGCTGGCAGTAGAAATCTAGTGATCGGCGAGGAAGTTGTCACCGGAGGCATCTGGGGCACTCTTCTTAGCGAGCTCTTGAAGACCAAGGTTAAAAGCTGCCCTATGAAGTCTCCTTGCAAGCTTGTCCTCTTCAGCACCTGACCAAAAAGTAGTGAATCTCGCAATATTAGAGGCAATATGGTCGATGGTAGGTTTTTCTTTTTTCTTTTCTTTTTCTTTCCCCCCCCCACTGGGCGAGGATGGGATGGTAATTTTTGTGCTCCGGAGCCATGATGAGGTTAGCAAGGGCGCAACTAGAATAGTTTGTGGGCTAATAATGTTCGTCCTTGCCATTTGCATAAAGCCTCTGTATTTGGTGTTGGATGCATAATTTGTTGGATTCATGCTCTATGGGGATAAGGGGAGGGTAAAAATTTTCAAGTATATTTCTCTCTCCTTCTCTCTATATCTAATTAATAATTAATGAAAAATCTCTGATAGCTTTGTGCTCTATATCTAAATAAAGTTTAACTCCTGGAGAGTTCGGGGGATAAAACTAACGACTATTTAATTTTGGAGGTAAATTTGCAATTATATAGATCTGGGGGGTGTATATGCAGAATATCTTATAAAGATATAGAAAACCACAAAATATGACAATAGCATTCTAAAACTAGGTAAATGAAAGGAACAATTGACTGTCATATACCGTTCTAGTATGAGGAGACCACGTAGCACAAATCATCGCGTTGCTTCCATTACCATTCACAAATGCAAGTGGGCCGTGGCTCGTGCTGCATCTTGAAGCACAAGTAGCATCTAGGAGAGTTTCAAAATTGAGTTTTGCTACAGGGACCCAAAATATAGGACCAATAGGAAGGACAAGTGAGGTGTCCCCCTCCTATTGAATAATGAGTCGGTCATCATTCACTCATTATCCAATAAGAGGGGGATACCTCAACTGTCCCCCTTATTGGTCGCATATTTTGGATCCTTAAGGAATTTTTCTTTAAAATTAGGGTAGTGTCTTATCAGACTATAAATACATCTAGCCCATCGTAATAATTAGGCTACAACCCGCGGCCCTCGTGAGCGGCCCGTCACTGTTGTTAGGGCTAAGAAATTTCGGACATGTATTGGGCCGTAGAACAACGCAAGGCCCAAACTATCTAGACACCTTTAAGATGTGCAGGAAGGACCCCGGAGCTTTCGCAATTTGCCAGTCAAGGACTGTCCGAGTTCCGACAGGCAGCTGGTTATCCGTAAAATTAAAGCTACTCCTGCGGCAGGCTTCGTCTTCTATCATTTCTCTTTCAAACCCCTAAAACCCTAGAAGCAATCAATCCCAAGCCCCAAATTGAAGCTTTTGAATGCTTGATTTTGTAAAAGTACCCCCAGTTCCAGCATGGGAGCAAGCAGAAAACTCCAGGGAGAGATCGATAGGGTCTTGAAGAAGGTGCAAGAGGGCGTCGACGTCTTCGATAGCATCTGGAACAAGGTGAAGATTCGATCTTTTGCTGATTTGGCAACGGATTATTGAATTCGGCTGACGGATTTATTCGTTTTTTTGTTCGTAGGTTTATGATACGGAGAATGCGAACCAGAAGGAGAAGTTTGAAGCGGATCTCAAGAAGGAGATCAAGAAGCTGCAGAGATATCGCGATCAGATCAAGACGTGGATTCAGTCGAGCGAGATAAAGGATAAAAAGGTTAGGGTTCTGGCCCCGTTGCGGTTATTTTACTAGGGGTTTAATGCGTTTAGCTTGAATATTGGTTAAAAGTATGCTTGAATTTATGGCGTATTTGTTTGGTTGTGGTTAGTTTTTGTTGGAGACTTAGTAAATGTTATATTATAACTGATGTATTATGTCATCAGTTTCTTTTAAGCAAATTAAAAGTTAAGTAGAAGTAAGTTTACACAAATTCTTTTTTTCTTCATTTAGTAGAAACTGTTGTTTCGTGGAGATTGAGGATAGGTTGTTTTATTGCATTCTGGTTCATGCAATTTTGCTAAATGTATTAAACATTGGACACAGAAGGTTAGTATCATGTTCTTCACTTCTGTTTGTGTGAAATTTATGTCGTTTGCTTTATAGAAAGGTTTAGAATTTTCATTATCATGTTTTGATGAAACTGAATCTAGAGGATCTTAATTTTATATCCACCTTACTGTTTATAAATTTTGTTTTGTTTCTTTGTAATACGAAAGTCTCTTAGCACTCTAGAAGTTCCACTTTCCTGGCTCGTGGCATTATTTCCTTCAGCCTGTGATATGTGGTGGCTTGATTGGCTTTTGATTGTGGATTTTCTTAAGTGAACTTGACAACTACTTTCACCTACACCCTTTCCAATCTGCTAGTTGTAGGTGGTCCTCTTGCAGTAACAGTTAGCTACTAGGTGAAAAAAATATGAAAGGGATAGTTTCAATATCCTAATGGACCCCAACAACCTTGTTATTAAGGCTGATAAAGTGCAAGTTGTGTTGGGGAATTTTAGTCCCCCTGCGTACTACGATCTTCGCAACTCGGAAGCCAATCCACTATCAATAAGATAGAAAACAATTGCAATCAAGAAGAAAGAACACATAGATTTTCGTGGTTCGGTCAACCAACTTTGACCTACGTCCACGAGACAACAATACGAGAAATCCACTATGTATTAGGGAGAACTACAAAAGGAACCACTCAACTATCGTCTCTTAATCTCTCAACCTTACATATATAATCAACTCTCATGTTCTCTCCAAAACTCTCTCCTTACAATCTTTTGAACGGATAATGACCGCGAAACCCTCTCCCAATGATGTAATCTTTTGCACGGACAAAGACTACTAAACCCTCGTCTCTCGCACAATATTCTTGAATCAGGTTACGCCCTCTGCTAATCTTAGATTACAAGAATATTGGCTCTCTCCCCTCTCATTGATTTTTCCTCCAACAATAGAAAAATATATATAGGAAAACCAAAATCCTATCTCTAGCCTAACTTTCTAATTAGAATAGGATTCAAACTCCTAATAATAATGAGACCCAATTTCCTAATCATGATAGATCTCTAACCCTATCTAATTCTCATGAAGTTATAGAAAGAATCAAAGACACAATCCCAATAAGTTGCAGGAAACAAAAACCAAATACCAATGACAACAGATGCACAACCATGTAAAACTACTATGTCTATCTAATTCTCATGAAGTTATAGAAAGAATCAAAGACACAATCCCAATAAGTTGTAGGAAACAAAAACCAAATACCAATGACAACAGATGTACAGCCATGTAAAACTACTATGTATTCGATCATAAGAATGCACCTTACTATTTAGGCCAAGATTTTTCATTGTAACTTAGTCACCTTACTACTTAATAGTTATTCTGTAGTTTCTACATTAGGTTGAATGTAACAGGATTGTGTGTGTATGACTGCAGTTTGTTTCAGTACACACTACATCAATGTATTCAAATTCTGTAACTTAAGTACTCATCTTTTTTATCTTTTATGCTCTTAAATCTAAAAAACCCACACTTCTGATGCATTCTTTTTCTTGATACTATATGCGTGGTTTTAAGATTAGCTAGTGTGGTGGTGTGGGTAGTGATGAGGATTTGTATTTTGGGGACGCAACCATGAGGAATAAGATGGATACTATAGTTAACAAGATAGATGAAATGAGAGCCATTGATGATTAGGGATTGTTGATAGTATGGAGTGCATATTTTTTGGATGCTGTGTGAACATTTCTGTTGATGTTTAGTATCAGTAGTGCACTGTTAATTTCCAACTAAACCTGTCAACAGTGATGGACTACTGTAGTTCAGTGTTCAATTCTTGTATAGTTGAGTCTGGGGGCTGAAATTTTGTGCTTTAGACTCAAATGTATTATCTTCTTTTTCTGCCTGGTGGATGATTTTCTCATTGGGACCTTTAATAGTTTTGCAACCGACGTTTAACAGCTTAAGCTATTCTTAATTTTGAAAACTCTTTGGCGGAACAAAAAGTGAGGTGCTTATACAAAAATGGTGTGAGTTGAAGTTGGCGTTTTAATATTTTTGTCCATATAAAACGTGTAGTGGCCTTACTTTATGGATTTCTGTAATATGAGTATTCTTTCTATCTTGGATTTGAATGATTTCTCACTTGCATATCGTATAAATTGAGTGTAAATGTTTTGCATACAAATGGATAATTAGTTTTAAGATTTTAGCTCATATTCTTTGATCATCTTTACTGATGGCTGTTAGCTGACTGATTTGGAGCGAATAATTTCTTCAGCTGTTCAGCATAGGCAAACTTCTGTGATTCTGGGTCAATAATCCATTTTTAAATATATTTTTGACTTAGGTTAGTGCCTCTTATGAGCAGGCTCTCATGGATGCTCGGAAGCTAATTGAGCGTGAAATGGAAAGATTCAAAATTTGCGAGAAGGAGACTAAAACAAAAGCCTTCTCCAAAGAAGGGCTTGGTCAACAACCCAAAACTGTAAGCAATATTTATCTCTTTGCCTGTATGTCACTGTGCCATCAGTTTAAAGTCTCTGCAGCTTGTAACGTCACAAGTTCTTTGTGAGTTTGTTGCACCTTCATGTTAATTTACATAAAACCAGTCAGATCTAGTTATTCATTGGAGAAATAAATTAACAGGATATGATGGTTGGTGAATATTTTGTGGGGTTTTTAGGATATAGGCTGCAAGTCTTTCATATGGAAATTAGCCTCTCATTATGTAATATTTAATATTACTCCCCAAAGTATGAGACACACGCTATATTTATCGCTCTCTTATTATGATCAAGCATCCTAAGCATGTTAATTTGGGGGTGGATACCAACCTCTGCACCGGCGAAGAGCTCCGGCGAGCTCATGGATGTTGCAGGCGTGCGTGGGCGACGAACCGCAGGCGAGCTCCGGTTATCACCGACGGCGGAGGAGCTCCGACGAGCTCGAGAATGGCGGAGATGATGCAGGCGAAGACGGCGAACGCCATCCTTCGGTGAACGCACACTTCGGCGAACGCAGAGTTGGGCGAACGCACCCTTCGAAGTCTGCGTTCGACCCCCCATTCGAGCTCTGCGTCTTTCGACCTCTGCGTTCGCCCCCCTTCTTTTGGCGTCCGCGGGCCGCTGGCGACAGGCTGTCGCCAGCTCATCCCCCCATCCGCCTATTTAAACCCCCCGCTAGGGTTTCGGTGGCTGAAGCTTTTTACCCCTCCTCCGATTTTTCTTCTGGCGGCGACCAAGAACGCAGCAGCGTTCCCATCTCCAGCGCTCAATTGATTTTGAGGGGAGATTAAGAAAAAGATTTAAGGAGAGAGAGGAATATAAAAAGGGGTTTTTTATAGTGGGTTATTCATTTGTTCTCAAGTTGATAATTGATAGGGTTCATACCTTTCTGCTCTTGCATTGTAATTTCTTGTTAATTAATAAGAAATTAATTGTATGGCTCCCGAGGACGTAGACAGTTGTTGAACCTCGTTAAATCTTAATGTACTTTTCTCTATACTGTGTTTCTACTGTTTTAGGGGTTTTGCGTAGCCCCGGCGGATAATTCCCAACAACTGGTATCGTAGCGTGAAACAATCTAAAGGAAGTCAGATTCAAGTGGGAGCCATGGCCGCAGATGAAGGAAAAATGAGACTTGAGAAATTTGATGGAACAGATTTCGGATTCTGGAAAATGCAGATAGAGGATTATCTGTATCAGAAAAATCTGTATCAACCACTATCGGGGAAGAAGCCAGATTCTATGAAGGCAGAAGAGTGGAACCTTCTAGATAGACAAGCCCTCGGAGTTATCAGATTGACGTTGACTCGCAATGTTGCGTTCAACATAGCGAAGGAGAAGACCACGGCGGGTCTTATGGCAGCACTCTCAAACATGTATGAGAAGCCATCAGCCGCGAACAAAGTTCATTTGATGCGGCGGTTATTCAATCTGAAAATGGCGGAAGGCGCGTCAGTAGCACAACACCTCAATGAACTCAACACGGTCACAACCCAATTGAGTTCAGTTTTCAGACTCCATCACCGTCAAAGACTCTCTCTCTGGAGATACCAAGCTGATCTCTAATGGAGGAAAATTTGAGCTGGGTTTCTTCAGACCAGGTAAATCCCCTTACTACTACATAGGGATCTGGTACAGCCTCGACAGGGTCTCTCAGCTCACCCCAGTTTGGGTTGCGAACAGAGCAACCCCAATCTCTGATCACACCCAAATAGAGCTCAAAATCTCCACCAATGGCAATCTAGTCCTCTCAAACCATTCAAACCCCTTGATTTGGTCCACAAACATCACCACGACCTCTAAATCCACCATTGCTGTGCTTCTTGATAGTGGAAATCTTGTTTTGAGGGATGGGTCAAATCCCAATTTAACTTTGTGGCAGAGTATTGATCACCCAACTCACACGTGGCTCCCTGGAGGCAAACTGGGGCTAAATAAAGTCACTGGGGAGCTTCAGCGTTTGATTTTTTGGAAAACCCAAGATGATCCTTCTCCTGGGATCTTCTCTCTTGAGATTGACCCAAAGGGGTCCAGCCCAAGGATTTGACAACAGGGAGAGAGTGGAGGGGAGGGGCTGACGTGGCGTTGGAGGCGACGGAGATCTGCTCTATCTCGGGGGGATGGGGCGACGGGGGAGAGAACGGAACCCTCAAAACTCAAGAGGGGTAGACAGAGGAGGAGAAGAAGAAGAGGAAGAAGGGTAGCGATGGTGACGGCGGGGGCTACGACTGAGGATGGAGTCGACGAGGTCGAGGGGAGGCGGAGGTGGCGGCGGTGTTGGAGGTATCCAGCGAGGTTGGAGAGAGGGTGGAAGAGGAGATGAGAGGAGAAGGAGAAGATCTGAAGAAGAAGAAGAAGAAGAAGAAGAAGAAGAGGATAGTTTGGGGTTTTTTGGGAATTAATTCTCTTGGAAATTGTAAAAAGGGCAGAATCACATTAACTTTTTCTTTTTGGGGCTAATACACATGAAAAATAATACAGGGGGCTGGACCACATTGTATTTTCATTTTTGGGGCCTTGAAGCAATTTTTCCTATAATTAAATACAAATTGAATTGTTATAATCACTTGGGATGCTTCCCATCAATTAAAATGACGGATTTCAGTGACTTGACATAAAATAATTATTGGTCATTTTGATATAGCAGGGTCATTTCTATGTTTAATATCTTGATCACTTGGGAAAAGAAAACTTGTAAAGTATATAGCAGCTTGTTTTGGATAATTATATCTCATTTGACACTTTATTCTTGAATACATCAACTCGTAATATATTGAGTAAGTTGTATTGCTTAAAAATTGTTAATTTGGGGGTGGATACCAACCTCTGCACCGGCGAAGAGCTCCGGCGAGCTCATGGATGTTGCAGGCGTGCGTGGGCGACGAACCGCAGGCGAGCTCCGGTTATCACCGACGGCGGAGGAGCTCCGACGAGCTCGAGAATGGCGGGGATGATGCAGGCGAAGACGGCGAACGCCATCCTTCGGTGAACGCACACTTCGGCGAACGCAGAGTTGGGCGAACGCACCCTTCGAAGTCTGCGTTCGACCCCCCATTCGAGCTCTGCGTCTTTCGACCTCTGCGTTCGCCCCCCTTCTTTTGGCGTCCGCGGGTCGCTGGCGACAGGCTGTCGCCAGCTCATCCCCCCATCCGCCTATTTAAACCCCCCGCTAGGGTTTCGGTGGCTGAAGCTTTTTACCCCTCCTCCGATTTTTCTTCTGGCGGCGACCAAGAACGCAGCAGCGTTCCCATCTCCAGCGCTCAATTGATTTTGAGGGGAGATTAAGAAAAAGATTTAAGGAGAGAGAGGAATATAAAAAGGGGTTTTTTATAGTGGGTTATTCATTTGTTCTCAAGTTGATAATTGATAGGGTTCATACCCTTTAATCATTAACACTGTAGCTACAGTGTTTATCTGAGAAATCTCAGTTTTGAGATACGCTCCTAAATTGTAATTTCTTGTTTAATTAATAAGAAATTATCTGTGTGGCTCCCGAGGACGTAGGCAGTTGCCGAACCTCGTTAAATCTTGGTGTACTTTTTCTATACTGCGTTTCCGTTGCATTAGGGGTTTAGGCGTTAAATTCCCAACAAAGCAGTCATGATTAAAGAGTGACCATGGTTCTCAAATTATAATGTGCTCAGCTTCCTAGCCACCAACCTTGCAACCTCTTCACATTCCATCTGTCACTATATCAATTTCTTCCTTCACAAACTGAAGTAATATTTTTTATGAAATGAAATTTGTCAATGCATTAATAGTTAGAATCACACGTTCAAATTTTTGTCTCGATTTAGTGGAGCGTTGGCATATGGATTGGCAAGTGGTGAAATGAAAATTGGAGCTGGCAAAATAGATTTGAGAGGACCAGATTGGGAATTTGCTCCTTGCTTCTTGTTAATTAATTTGAGTGATACCGACTTTCTCTTAAGAGGATATGGATGTGACTCTAAGACAGGTCGAGGATAGCAATTTGTTGGATTTGAGACTGAGCTCTTGTTTGGAGAGAGATTTGTGAAGTTGGGCTTAGTTTGGACATGACAGAAGAAATATAACTCAGGGCATTGGGTTCTTGTTTTGGAGAGAGGTATGTGAAGTTGGGCTTAGTTTGGACGTGGCAGAAGAATTATAACTCAGAGTGAAAGAGAGGTTTTAAAAAATACATGGAGTTGGCTAAGTGGGAGAGAATCCAATTAATGACACGAACGCAACATATTGTGAAGAGGGGTGCTTTTCTCTGAGGAGATAGGTGAGTATTCTTAAAGTCCCTCTTAACAATTAGACCACAACTCCGAAATTATGGTGAGAGTTAAGAGTTAAACTTTTATCTTCTAACATGCGCGTGTGAGCGCGCCTTTCTATGGGCCGAAACCTAGACTCGCACAACAGTGTCAATTTTTAGAAAATCCGCTTTAAATTTGTGGCCTGTTTAATTTATAGATATTTCTCTCGTTATTTTCTTTTTTTTCAAGTTGTGAGGTTTATTCTTCAAGTTTAGTGTATTCTCCACTGCATATTGATATTTACGCAAAGATTACATGTATTTATCACCAAGTTCTATGCTCATACATCTTACTCAAGGATTTTCATTTTCTCTGTTATTATCATGAACATCTGTGACAGGATCCAAAAGAGAAGGCTAAATCTGAGACTAGGGACTGGTTGAACAATGTGGTATGTGATCAATTTTACCTATATTATATATGAGGTTTACATCTTTATGTCTTGCTAGTTAAAATATTTATATCTAAATGCTTGTGGGTGGATGTCAATCTTCATTTTTAGGTTCTTTTTTCCTCCTCCTTTCCTTTGTTTATGATCACATTCCACAACTACTCGCGTGCACACACATACACCTGTTAATCCAGTTTATCGTTTCCTCAACAAGAAAAGGACTAAGATGCTCAAGGATTATTCATTGGCACAAGCATACATGGTTTCAATATCATGTTCAGGGTCTTGCTAATCGTCAGCATATTTTGCCGTTATGCAGTGCTGACATCTGGGATGATCATGATATTTCAGAAGTTGCATCATCACAAACATTATTTATTTTGGACATGGGAACTTGGACCATTTTGGTTGAATGCCTATATTACTAATTTTTGGTTTATGTGGAAGTACCACTCACTGCCTCATAAAATTACCACATGAATTGTTCTATGCCAACTTGCTGATGCTCTATTGAATATCCTGATTCTGTAATTATTGACTGTAGAAATTATTTTCCAGGTAGACTGGCTTTTTTCAAATGTTTAGAATGATTTTTTGCTATGCAGACTGTACTGTTCACATTCTCATGTTGATTTTGAGTTGATTCCGTTTTCTTTCTGACTAGGATTTTTTGAACAATTGTTGTAGAATATTAAGTTATTTAACTAATGCTCTTCTTTGGCATTATAGGTTGGAGACTTGGAAAGTCAGATTGATAACTTTGAAGCTGAAGTTGAAGGTTTTTCTGGGAAGAAAGGAAAAACAAAGAACCCTCGGCTGGTACGTTGGGAAAAAGTGTTCTAACTAGATGATGTGTCAATAAAAGATTATGGTAACAATGTAATCAGGGTATAAAAAGATAGAACCACGGTTTTACTTGTTCTTTAACTTTTGTTAGGCACACCTAGAAACATCCATTGGTAGGCACAAGGCTCATATAATGAAGCTGGAGTTGATATTGAGACTGCTAGATAACGATGAGTTGAGTCCTGATCAGGTTAATGACCTTAAAGAGTTTCTTGAAGATTATGTGGAATGCAATCAGGTAGGGCTTCTACTAAAAAAATTTATATGTTTGATAATTTTGACATGTACGATTCTAACTTCTTGAGCCCGCCTTTAAAGGATGATTTTGAACGGTTCGACGACGTTGATGGATTTTACAGCTCTTTACCATTAGAGGTAGAAGCACTTGAAGATCTGGTCGCCCTTCCTTCTGGTCTTGCTAAGGTAACCTCTTATTTACATTTTGATTTATGTGTTACTCTTATATATTATTTTGAAGAAATATTCCTTCCAGTGATCCTGTGGATGGAAGTTCTGATGGTTTTATGCTGTATGATATTTATCACAACTGAACTTACTGACTTTATAAGTCACTAGGCTTCTCTTTCATGGATTAGTCCTTCCATCACTTCTTGATTTATTTACAATTTAGTGTTCGTTTATTTTCTTTGCTATTCTGTTCTTGTGTAATCTTTTTTCGTTAATGTCCTACTCTCAGTATCTTCTTTTACACATTTTAGATGATTGTTTCTCCTATTAACAACTTACTATAATGAGATTCTCTTGATGTCCGACCTTTATGTGAGTTAGTATGCTTTTTTTTGTTGCATGGATGCATGTATGAATACGGGTATATGATGCAATTATACACGTGAAAAAAATGAAATTGGGATACGGATTCATGGTCGATATGACAAAATAATTAGGTAATATTTTTATACATATTTGATAAAATTATGTATGAAGAATTGTTAGGAAACAGTATGTAGTTGAAAAAAGACATGTCAGCAGCTTTGGTACTCCAAAAAATATTTTTTAGTAGATAAAGTCTGCAAAAATCATTCTCTATTATCGGAGCGACGTTTTTTGGACTTGCACTGTTGGTTCCGTAATTTGTTACATTTTCAAGGGTAATTACATGGTGTATTCCCCTCCCCTCATCTTCTTTGTTCAGATAAATCGCCCCCCTCGCTCAGCAATCACCAAAGAACAACATCTCAGCGATCATCGTTCGTACAGAAAAATTCCAAATTTCATTTTATTCTTCTTCATTCGTCATTTGTATGCCTTCTCCTCTTGTTCCTTCAATCAATCCCATCTCAATTCGACCTTTTATTTCTCTCCATCTATCTTGTGGGCAATGTTATATTACATGTTGGGCGTTTCTAGGCGTCGGACTTGGCGTCCAGCGCTTAGTCGTCTAGGCGGACGCCTAAGCGGTTTCTGGGCGTTTTTTTTCTTTCTTCATTTAAGTGGTGGTCGATGAGGTTTTGCTGAAGATCGGAGGAGGTAGTGGAGGTGTTCATATTTGGAGGTTAATGGAGTTTGGAGGACGTGTAGGCTACGACACATAAAATCACAATCAAGGCCTATAGGGTGCAATCCACGTAAGCAGACAATGCTCCCCTAAACGCTCGTAAAATCTAGGTGGGCAGCCTAAATACCGCCTAGGCGCTAGGCGCTAGTTAGACGGTCTAGGTACCGCCTAGGCCTAGGCGTACGCCTAAGCGGACTAGGCGGAGATTTTTTAAAACAGTGCTTGTGGGTTTGTTTCACAATGGTGATGGATGAAAAAAAGGAAAATATGCTCTTGCTAGGTTAATGAATACATAGCTAGAGAGGGATTTGAAATGTTCTTCGGAGAAAGTTTTTCCTTAGAAAAACCTAATGAATAAGATTTTGAAACTAAATAAGGAGATTTTAAATTGCAAAAGTTAGGAGAACAGATGGGTTCAACGAAACCTTAGCCAACTGGATCAAGCTCTAATTAGTGAAGTAAATGGTGTGCATAATCATTTCGCAAGGTTTACAATGATAATTGATGAAAGAAGGCGCATGGTCATTTAATGTTTGCAAGGTTTACGATGATAACTGATGAAAGAAGGGAAGGGCTAGATTGCAGTGGGGAAGAAGAGAGGAAAAATTACAGAGTTGACCTTTTAATTAAAAATTAAATAAAATCCTATTTTCAGAGTACCGAAGCAAATCTCAAAAGAAATTAGACTGAAGCCTAACTTAGAACATGAATAATTCTTTTCCATCATAAAGTAATTAAACTGTGAAATAAGACTAATTTGAAACATATTAATAATTAAACTAACCCTAACTATCAAACCAGTCATAACAATGAAAACTCTTTTGAAAAAAAAGCCCAAGCCCCAAATCAAACAACAACCATTAATCTTTCTAAGAAGTTCCATTAATCATCAATTTGAAAGCACAAATAGTAAAATCAAAGCATTAAAACATAATTTCGAAGTATAACCAAGATTTGTGAGGGGGAATATAATGGATTTGAGAGAAGAGCAATGGCAGATGAGTTTTTGGCTATTGTTGAGAAAGGACAGAAGGGGATGGTAGGAATTGCTCTTTTTAGGATCAATCCTTCATTCCTTTGGCATCACACCTATCGCAAGTGTGATCTGCTTCACACCTAGGTCAACAGTTTTATGCCAATTAAGTTAATAAACCTCGAAAAGCTAGGGTTTTATATCCAAGGTTACATCATACAATCTCAACAAATCATAATTCATTTCATAAACAGAACCATACCTTTCCTGGAGGTAATTATTCTTCTGTAGATTTATAAAGCTTTCAGCAAGAAACTACTCTTTAATTAAAAGAGTTTTAGTCGTACTAAAAAAACTTCCTTAAAACTTAGGTTCTAAAGCGATCGCTAAATCAATAAAAATTCTTAACTAATTTTCTTCTATCAACAAGTCTATAAGAAAAAAAATCTTGAATATCAATATTCTGATAGTAAAAGATGTTTTGGCCATCTTTTTCTTTTCTTTTCTTTTCTTTTCTTTCTTGTTCAGCTTTATTCTTTCCTTTTTTTATTTTGTTAGTGAAAGTTGCCATACATCAATTTCCCTAGTAACCTTTGCATTTAGATAATATCAAATGTCAAAAATCACTTCATTCCATCTTCCTCTCTCATCCATGGTCTTCCTTCATCGTCGGTGTTGCTCATATCATTTGGTGGTTAGATTGTGGGGAAGATGTTGTGTAGTATCGGCTCGTTTCAAATATAAAAGAGAAAGAGAAGACAGATAGAATCAGAGAGTGCATAAGAAAAGGGGTATAATTAGTAGGTTTTGGGTAATTAAGTTCCAACAAAGTACTAACTAAAGAGTTCAAACATTTTATGTAAAAGCTAACACGGATTCAATACACACCTGGAAGTTGATTCAGCATGTACACTTCCTGATCGATTCATGCAGCAAATCCTGCACAAAGAGGGGAAAATTGAAGCCTGTTATGTACCAGATCTGGTTTGATGGGTTTTTTATCACTCCGTGCATTAGAGATGCTTTTATTAAAATCTCATGTATGTTGAAGACTTGAAGGTAATTGTTCTTATTAGAAAACTGAATCAAAATTCTTTTAATTTGAATCTCTCTGCCTTTTTTGTATTATAGCTACACATTAAATGGAAAATCAATCATCAGAAATAACAGTTTATCATTTTCTTCGATGCTTTGAATCTAATGTTCAGATATACAGATGTGCTTGCATATTTGTCGTTTTTTGAGTCATTTATTGGATTAATACCTCTATATAATGTATTATAAACTTTGGATTTCGTTCTTGGTTGATCATGCATCGGTTAAGATTAACTATTACTCATTGCTTGCCAGGGTGCTCTGTCATTAACCAGTCAGCAGACTACTGATCAAGATCAGAGGGAAGAAACTGCTTCTCAGGATAGTAATTCAGAGATTGCTCCTAAAACTCCACCCTCTAAAACTGGAGCTACTGGATCTTCGGTGTCGACACCTTCACCCAGTCCTGGTCCTGGAACACCAACAGGACCTAATCCACCTACTACGCCTAATGCTTCTGCTCGGCCATTAGGTGGAGGGCCTGGTGTGGCTTCAGTACTTTCTAGTCCAGTGGCTGTTCGAGGTATGATGGAGAGCCCAACTGTTGCTGCATCTCCATCGCTTTCAAACTCAAATTCAGTCAAGGAGGATGATAACAGTACCTTCCCTGGCCGTCGACCATCTCCAGCCATACCTGAAATTGGACTTGGGAGAGGCATTAACAGAGGGATATCTAGTCAAGCAGCGGTCACTGCTTCTACGAGTTCAGCCAGTGGGATTTCAAGCAATGGAGCTCTTGGTTCAGTTTCTGCAGTATCTGACATGAATAAGAGAAATATTTTAACAGCTGATGAGAGAATGGGAAGTGGTGGCGCTGCTTCACCTTTGATGTCGCCTTTAAGTAATAGAATGCTATTACAGCAGGCTGCAAAAAGTAATGATGGGACAAATTCAAATGATAATGGTAAAGTTGGTGAGGTTCCCATTATTGGTGGAAGAGTCTTTTCACCTTCTGTTGCTAGTGGAGCTCAATGGAGACCTCCAAGTACAGCTGCATTGCAGAATTCAAATGAGACAGTATGTTTCTCTTGCTACGTCTGTGAACTTGAGTCTTGTATCATTTGCCATCAGAAGTAATAATATCTTAACCTCCTTTTACATTACAAATTTTATTAAAATTTGTGCATTGTATCTGTCTGTCATCAGCCTGCATTATTTTAGTTCGTTAACTGCTTCAGCATGTGCACTATCTTACTTAGATGCCATACTGATAGCCCGATAGGTACTTATTTATAAAGAGGGTGTATTGATGGTCAGTCAATCTTTATGTAACTAGAATTTCACTGTTATTGGCTAGGATCTCCACAGTAATTCTTTATTTGACCTTGCATTCTAATTTAGCCAATGAGGTTATCCGTGATTTCTGTACTTGCCTGACATTCTTTTCTTCACTGCCAGCTTCGTGGAAGACCTGAGATTGCTCCTGATCAGAGGGAAAAGTTTCTGCAAAGACTGCAACAAGTACAACAACAAGGTCATAATACTCTTCTCAGTGTTCCTCATCTCTCAGGGGCAAACCAGAAGCAGTTCCCTTTACAGCAACAAAATTCGCTTTTGCAACAGGTACTATCTTCTTGAATGTGGAACTTTATAAGGGATGTATTTCGATTACTGTCCTTTTTTGTGTTGAAGTAGGCAGTCATCTTTTCTTATACACTTTCTGATCTGTAATTTTTCTTATTAATTTTGTAAATGAATTTTCTTTTCTCGCAACATGCTTAATTTTTTTTCCTTCCATTTTCTTCTTTAAAAATAATAGATTAAATGAGGTTTGAGCTTGATGGATAATTGAAAGTGATTGATTCCTTGCATCCCAACACGCACACACGCACACCCACCGACTGAAGTACGCGCACACACAGACACACTCGCCGCACCTCCACAGCCACACAGACACGCATGTGCACACACGTGTGCGCTCACACACCCTCACATGCATGCACACTCAAACACACCCCTCGTGTGCACACAGACGCACACACACTCACTTACAAAAGACAATCTGTAAGGAGTTCATTCATTCTGGACTGAGTATCCTTATGAGAGTATTCAGAAATGCATGACATGAGTAAGGTGCCATCAGATTATCTGCTTACTTTGTATACCTGTTTCACTCTACCCCAGTGGTCAGATTATTTTGTAAATGCATGACTCCTAGTTCTGTCTCGTTGGTGACAGTTCCATTCTCAAAGCTCATCCTTGTCACCTCAACTGGGATTAGGACTTAATATGCAACCGGGATTCAATTCTGCCTCATCAGCGCAGCTACAAACCCCAACGCGTCAACAATCTTCTCAGCATCCTCTAATCTCAACTTCACCAAAAGATTCAGGTAAGTCCAATATTTCCAGTATCTGTTGTCCAGTGCCATGATTTTCAATTATTTTGCATAAAGTGTTTAAACATGCAGATATAAGCCACTCCAAAGGAGACGAGCAGCAGCCTAATCTGTCTGATAATATGAATGTAGAATCTACAGAAAATTCCAGTCTTAACAAGATCATGAGCGATGAAAATTCAAAGTCGCCATACATGGTAAAAATATATTCATGTTAAGCATTTTCTGTTCTCTTTCCACCTTTGGCCAATGATTTGTTTTTGTTTATTATTTGTTAGCTAGTTTAAGGACAGCTTGGAAAGATTTTATTGTGTCCTGGAACTCTCGTAACTAGGATTTTAGCCTGATACCTTCTGTGTGGACTATGGAAAACGGGCAGATGAAAATAGTTCACTAAGTAAAATTTATTCGCTGCTCTGAATTTGTTTAATAGGATTTACAAATTTGTTTAAATTAATGGATGTTTCTGTTATGGGCCTTATGGCATTGTTGACTATTCTTCGAATAGCTCTGGAAATGTATTTTCTTTAATCAAGCAAGTTCTTTGTCAAGGGTGTGAATTGAGTATTACCTGCATATACATCATTGGGCGCATGTTGTCTGCCTGTTGTGCATGCATACATGAATACTGAAAGTAATTGATAACTAGGCAACATATGCAATATGCATTAGGTGAGTTTTTCTACATTTTGGATGTAAATTAGATATGTATTAGACATGTCAGCATCCTGGAAGAGCTTAGTGGAACTTGTGCATTGAAGTTGGAAATCTGATAACCACGTTGTTGCAAATGAAGTATATGACCTATGTAAGTAGTTGACATGTAGAATCTATTATTGCTAAATTACCTTAGTACGGAAAATGTTGTCCAGCTAAATTCTACTAATGTATGGCGCTGTCTTGAGTTGGGTTATTTTTTTACATTCTATATTGTTCAACATGCAATAGTCTCTACTGATTTATAAAGGCCTAGTTCTAAAAGCACTATGACAAGTTGAGTCAAATATTAAAATCATATTACATATTCTCAGTTAAACGAATTGAGGCTTGTTAATTACCATAGTCAGTTATGCCTAATATTAATCTAAACGCACTTATGATAAGAAAGATGCAACTACAAAGAAGGATTTGGACTTGATATCAGCAGTCATCTATGTTAGTCTTTTTTCTTCATTTGGCTCGTACAAGTCCATTTCCTCGGTGCATTATTACTCTCGAAGTGCTAAGTCCCAGTGTTTGACTTACTTTTATGCTGGCTGGAATGAGCTTAATGAATTGGTAAAATTTATCAAGTACACATAAGTTTTCCACAGATCTAGGCATATGACAACACATTCTTCTTTCCCAGGCATCCTGGGTTATATGAAGACAATTCTGGTATTTGTTTTCTCCATGTGAGACTAATAAACAGCTTCTATGAGTGACACTCAATGCTTCAAGCTTGCAAAGAACTTTATGTCAAAGCAGTTTTCGTGACCCAGTGAGAGGGAATAGTTGACAGAATCTTCCTTTATTATAAACGCCAACATTTACATTCTTCTTGAAATGGAACTGGTTGTGTTGGTATTCTTCTCTGAGTTATGTGCATATTTCAGGCTTTCAGCTACGCTTTTAGTTTATGCTGATTTGTGCTGAATCCAGAATGGATGAGATAGAGATCCATGGAAACGGAAAAAGGCACCTAGATGTTCTGTTTCAAATTTTGGATCTATCTAGATCCCTGATTAGTTATTTGTTTGAGTCTGAATACAATCATATTTAAGGTTAGCTTTAGCTTTATGTAGGGGTTTAAGTTTGTCTAGGACTTCTATGTTTATTTTATGCGGAGCTGAGTGTTTAAGGTTTCAGTTCAGAAATGGCATGGATGCCCAAATAAATTTTATTACATTAAACTCGTCTCACCTGTAGCAGATTCTATAATTATCATTTGCAATCAAAACTTTCTGGAGATAGAGTTTTGAATCAGAGACAAAATCTTGTTGTGTGCTATGAATCTTTATACCAACTATCAAATTATTTGACAGTTTTGGAATTTGTACGTTAGATAATGTAGAGGGATTCTGTTATTTTTCACAGATTGGTGGCTCTGCTGCCATGACGGAAGTTAGCCAAGTACCAAGAGACACTGATCTCTCTCCTGGGCAGCCATTACAACCAAGCCAGTCGTCAGCTAGCCTTGGTGTTATTGGACGAAGAAGCGTTTCAGACCTCGGTGCCATTGGTGATAATCTTAGTGGATCTGCTGGGAACTCGGGAATCATGCGTGATCAGATTTATAATATGCAAATGCTGGAGGCTGCATTCTACAAACTTCCTCAACCAAAGGACTCGGAACGAGCAAAAACCTATATTCCAGTATGGATTCTTGGCTCTGTATTGCTTACAGACATTTCTTGATCCTATTATATTTCTTATATAAGCTAGTGAACCTTTTCCAATTTTCAGAGGAAACCCGCGGTAACTCCTCCCAGCTTCCCTCAAGCTCAGCATGAAATTGTTCAGAATCCTACCTTCTGGGAGAGAATGGGTCTTGATCCTTTGGGAAGTGATACCTTGTTCTTTTCGTTTTATTATCAGCAGGTATTTCTGTGGTTCTTATTCATGTCAAATTTCCTTTTTCACGCCACATGTCATATGTTTTATATCTTATATGCTGCAGAAAACTTACCAGCAATATTTGGCTGCAAAAGAGCTGAAAAGGCAGTCATGGAGATATCACAAGAAATATAACACATGGTTTCAGCGGCATGAAGAACCAAAAGTCACTAATGATGAATATGAAAAAGGAACATACGTCTATTTTGATTTTCATATTGCAGATGAAGGCCCACAGCATGGATGGTATTCTATCCTCATTTCTGTATTTGTTTCTTAAATAGGCGTTGATATCATTCAGTATCTCTTGTGAAACAATTATGTTATCAAGCTTCTTTGATTTTTTTAAATTCAGATTGCTTGCATATTGTTATGTTACTTTTTATTTTTATTTTTTGGATTTCACTTCATTCACTACCTTATTTTGAAATGATTATGATAATAGGTTTGAATTTGAGTTTTCCACTTGGGTTATTATTTTACGGGTCAGGCCTTACATGTACAAAATCTGTTAGCAATCTTGATCTTTTAGATCTTAAGTTCATTATTGTTGGCTATAACTGTCGTCCAGTTAAATATACCCTTTAGACCTGTGAGAGAACCAAGCATTTAGGGGGATTAACATTTTGAAACCTAAGTCTGTATGTAATGATTGGTACGAGGGGTTTCGAGAATTTTCTATTAAATTATGTGTTTGGAGAAAATAACATGCTCATGAAATTTAGCTAGCATAATAGTAGAGTTTCTGTACCAGTTTATTTCAGGAAGCGATGGTATATTTATTTTACAAGCTGGTTACACCATAATAATTGTTTTTCATTTGAACTGGATATGCTTAATAAACAAATTAGCTAGTTAACTTGAAAAATCCTATCAATTTAATTAAAGGTGGGTGTTTTTTATCGAACTGTCAGCATGCGACCAAGTTCCTTAGATAGATAAGCACTTCTTCGTACTCTTGTTGCATCTGATTGCACTTATATTGAGCCCACCAATTTTTCCTCGGACGAATTTTCAAAACCAACCTATTTCCAGATTTAATCCCAAAAAAAGACCTGTTTTGAACTTATTTGCAAAAACCGACCTGGTTTCAGGTCTGACGTTGAAATCAGGTCGGTTTTTGAAAAAAAATTCCGAAACTTCACGGGAGTTTAACTCCTGTGAAGTTTAGTAAATCTGCTAAACTTCACGGGAGTTCAACTCCCGTGAAGTTTCGTAGATCAAAAAAAAAATTTTGAACTATGGAACTTCACGGGAGTTGAACTCCCGTGAAGTTTAGCAGCTTTACTAAACTTTACTAAACTTCACGGGAGTTCAACTCCCGTGAAGTTTCGGAAGCTTTTTCACAAAAACCGACCTGGTTTCAGCGTTAAGGCTGAAACCAGGTCGGTTTTTGCAAATAAGTTCAAAATAGGTCGTTTTTTGGGATTAAATGTTCAAATAGGGTGGTTTTGAAAATTTGTCCATTTTTCCTCTCAAGAGTTCTGCATTATCATAAGTCAGTACAAAAAAATAACTGATCTAGACCTTGGCTATGTATCCAAAATAGCAATATTGTTGATGTGATAAGGTACTTTTTTTCTTTACTATTGTTATCTAGAAAATCAGGAACTATATAATACTGATTTTTCTGACATCCTTCGGCTGGTTTTGGCATTTCAGGTGTCAAAGGATTAAGACTGAATTCACTTTTGAATACAATTATCTTGAGGATGAGCTTGTGGTGTAGATATGAAGCGCATGACACTTGCGAATCGACGAAGCTCCAGTATGTTTTCTTGCCATGTTATTTTTAGTTGTCAAATGGGTAATTCAAGATCTAAACTCCCTTGAGCTTGTTCCAAGACTTTTTCTTCTCAAGACCATCCTTTTGCAATGGCATTAATGTCTCTCCCTGAGTGGGTTAGTGAAGGTAGGGTGAACTTAGGTTCAAATACTTGTGGGTGTTCAGATAGAAATTAAACAGAAGGGTTAATGAGCAGAAAAGTGATTTGCTGACCAATTTTTTGAAAGGTGCCTTGGTTGGAAACTTTGAGTTAGAGAAACTTTTTTGCAGGCCAGTTACCACGTAAACCTGTTACCTGCCTTGCCTTGCCATAGAGCCGAAGGTTTAGAATGAACTTTATTATAGCAACTTTCACCAACATTTACAATCTATTCCAAAGTCTACTGTGCAATAACTCTTAAAAGGGGGTTGCTTTCCTTTCATAAGCTGAAACAACGTTGAGCATGATGCCGTGACATGCAACCACCGTTTTTTTACAGTAACAGTGGGCAAAAAGTTTCATTAATAAGGGTTTAATGAAACATAGAAATACAAAATAAGTTACTCTGCTCACAAAATGCAGAAGTCATGCAGTAATCGTCAATTCGTCATGAGGGCAGAGTATTTACCAATTTTTGTAAGCTTTAGTTTCACATGTTTCTGGAATAAGCATTGTTTAGGCAAAATATAGTCAGGAACTCTCAGTGGAATTCCCTCTAATGCTACTTAAATAGTATGATTCGGTCAATGTTTTACATACTTATGAAGTGAGAACCGTAGGCTTGTATTTGGTAGGCAAATTTAACTGTGATATTATGTAAAATGTTTTCAGGCCTGTGACTGAGGAGGAGACGAGGCAAATCGGCGTGCAAATGGTTATTCGGGTTATGGAAACTGTAAAACAGAGTAGTGTTGTGATTGAAAGTTATTCATTTCGAGTTTTGCAACACTTCGCCATTTGTAAGTTAAAAATTGTTGTATAATTATGTGGGATTGATATGGGCCAGCTCCAATATTGTGGGATAAAGGCCTTGTATAATTGTTTATGTTCCCTGTGTGGGTACGGGCATGTGAGATGACCAAAGCAAGCGATAATGGAAGAATGGCAATATTTGAATTGTCCTTAGGAATTACAAGCTCTTCCCTATGTGTTGAGTTCATGTACTACTCTACAGCAGAGAGTAACATTTGTACCGGCCATGTTTTAGTTGCTACGGCTTAAATAGAGTAAGAAAAAGAAAGAGTAAATTTATTCATTGAAATTTAAATGTCCATATGTTTATATGTATAAGTAAACAAAGTGTAGTTTGTTTTCCATGGCATTTCTTCATTTTCGTTTAGGGCTGTTTGTTTAGAAGTGGAAGCCTGTTTCCTATTTATAATTTTATCTTCTTCTGTTCCTCTAGGTTGAAAAAATGAAGAAATGCTTTCTTAAAGTTATAGAGAAGGTCTTCAGAAATGGAAAATTCATTTCCTAGTTTTTGTCATGGAAAACGCATGGAAAGATATTTTGAGGAATAAAGTATTCCTCTACAAAAATGAAAGATTCCTTTGTTTCAAAACAGTGATTAATGTGGAAAATCTAATTCCAACTTTAATTACTTTTGGCGACAAATGTGAAAAAATATTTTCCAAGAAACTATGTGAAATGCGTGGAAATGGACTTTTTTTTCAAAATTAGTTTTAATTATTTGTCGGAACTGGACCGTGGGAGAAATGCGTCCGATGCGTTTCTGAAGCAGTGCGGCCAGACAATGTTGTACCCGGATTGTTAAGGAAATGGACATTTTGTTAGGTTTCTTCTGGAATTTTCTAACTGTGGTGATATTTTTGTTGATTTCTTCAAAGGGAGTGTATTTTCGTTAAGTTTCCAAGTGGAAAAGCATTTTTGTTAATTCTTTCAAATGTGATGGCACTTTTGTTGATTTTTCTTAGAAGGAGGGTATTTCCATGTGACAGCGAGGGTATTCTAGAAATTCTAAAAATGAGGACCCCATTACTAAACATGTAGCTTTTTTTTAATAATAACGACTAGTCATCTAGTGAATCTAGTGAATGTGATGCGTTCTTGACACAATACATTCTTGTGTGTATTTTTTTTTTTAGAAAAAGGATGGGATCATGAGATCCAACCACTATCTTGTGTGTAAAAAGATGTTGTTAACAACATAATAATAATGTTTTCATGAAAACTGTTTTTAAAATAAGCTAAATCGATGGAAACTAACTTTTCAAGTTTTTTTTATACGAGAATCATCTTAAGAGTGGGTTTAGCTTTCAATCAATTACCCTAAGATAAACTCTATTCAACTTTTACCCTAAATATCGAAAATAAGCTCATCCCTTCTTCCTCACCCACCTTAACTGATTCCACCCCTTCCATCCTCCTCCTCCCTCTCCTCCGTCCTCATTTTCCTTCATGCAAACCATGATTGACATGGAGGAGGATGAGGGAGGAGGGTGAGGTGGGACGAAAGAGGAAGAAGTGTGGGTGGGTGGAAGAGGAGGGAGAAAGATGAAAGTGAAATGAAGGAGAAAGAAGGAGAAAGATATGGAAGAGGAGAGAGGAGGGTAGACGGAGGAGAAATGAGCATGGACTAGGAGGGGGAGGTCGAAAATGGGATGTAGGAGGAGGAGGAACATGGAGGTAGGGTGGATGAGAAGAGATAAGGAAGGAAGATGGAGGTATTTTAGGCATTTTGGATAAAACTTGAATTGAAATTGACTTGGGTGGTTGATCGAAAGCTAAACCCACTTATAAGGTGGTTTCTGTATAAAAATACTTGAAAGATGGTTTTTATCAATTTGATCTATTTTAAAAGTGGTTTCATGAAACACCTTGATAATAATGAATAAAAAAAATCTAGCAATAAAAAATCAAACAAGAAACAACGTGTTCACCACCCACTTTTTACTTAGACACCCCAAGTTATAAAACTTCTCACTTATATACGCTAGGGGTGGGCAAAAACCGAAAAAAACCGGTTCAACCGAAAAAACCGCCCGAAAAAGCGGGCCGGTTAACCGAACCGGATTAAATGGATGAGAAGAATGTTCTAAACCGCCCGAACCGGATTAAATCGGTTTGGATCCGGTTTGAACCCCTGAACCGCCCGAAAAAACCGACCCGAATTCTCTAATATAAATAGTTAAAAATAGGTGATATCCTGTTGCATGTGTTTGTTTCTCCTTCATCACTTACATTCTTTCTATAGAAATGCTGGAGAGTTTCTCCTTGTTTGCTCATGCATAAACTGCATGGTCAGTGAAGCATTTTTTGCCTCCTACTTACTGGTCTTCAAGGTTTTATGAGAAGATTTTCTTAGACATACTGCCTAGTAGATTTATACTATTATGATAGCTTATCAATTTTCTCAGTTTCTCATTGTAACGACTCCATAGGATGATGGACAAAGAAATGCATTAAGTACAGCAGTGTATACCTACCAGTTTCTCATTGTTCACTATCCTTTTAGCTCCTTGTTCCCTCTTCCTCCATTTCCTTCTAATGACTGCTGATAAAAATTTCATGTCAGATGTTGATTCCTTAAAATTATTGTGTACAGAATCCTCATCTTCCTATATGTGGTCCACAATTCACTGTTGGTTGTAGCCAAACCTGCAATTTGCGCCTAAAGGATCCACTTGTCAGCTCAATTATCTGAAAGAAGTGAGGGTCCTCCAAATCACAGGTTAATTCGGTCCAAAACCGAAACCGATCCGGTCCGAACCGAATTTCGGTTGGGCCGAATATTCGGATCAATGGGAAAAAATCTGGATCTGGATGAGAGTTTTGAGAATCCGAAAAATTCGGATTGGATGCGGATTGGGCTTAAAACCGATCCGATCCGAATATGCCCAGCCCTAATATACGCCAACCTGGTTAAACATGACATGCTAATACCTTCTATTAATTACACATTATAATATTCCTAAAAATATTTTCATGTGCAGATCACATGTCAATTATAGCTTTGTTTTATCCTCATTGTTGTTGTATTTATAATTTTACCTACCACATTCTATGAAAGGGGGTTAATATCAGCCAAGGGTAACTTGGTCATTAACTCTAAAAAATTAACTCCATTTGGAGATTTTAACAAAAAGCAACTTAGGGTATGAAAGTAGGTGAAACTACGAGGGGTCCAACTATTCACACTCCCAAATAGTAACTTTGGGGGTGTGTGAGGACAAAATTGTCCTTCTCCCAAACCAAAACAGGCCAAGTCCATTCCAGAAACACCCTCAACATCAAAAGGGCATTTTCGGCAATCCAACTCCCAAAATTACTGTTTGGGAGTGGATATAGCATCAAAAGGGCATTTTCGGCAATCCAACTCCCAAAATTACTGTTTGGGAGTGGATATAGCAAACATGAACTACGAGGTATTTTAGTGTTATTTTATCCCGCAGAAATGACAATCACATAAAAGGGCATGATACCTACCCTGACATGGTTGGAATACTTAAAATGGAGATTTATAAAAAAAAAACTTACACTAAGATTGGCTAAAACAAGGCGATACCCAAAAGGAGTTACTAAAAAATTTAGTAGAATTGATATGACCGCTATGAACGGTCCCACGTTGAACAAGTGAATATCTCCTCAGCTCCTCTAGATGAAAATATGTCCTCTTTAAAAAGTAATTTGGTCCTATCCGCTAGAGCTTGAAGAATTCCTAATAGGTTGGCACATTCAAGCTCGATATGTTGTTGTATTGCTACAGATATTTCTCTTTCTAACCGCACAATTACGGGTACCCCTATTATGATTCCTAATAGAAGGATTAAAATATGAACAAAGATCCATACGAGGCCATAGACTTTTTTTAACAATTCCGGTTTAGAAAAAGAATTGATAGCATGTACATCTATTTTTGTCGGTTAGTGTAAGACTATGTTATATACCTAATAAATCCCTATTTTCTCCCTCACCTTGTTTGGTTTCAAGCAAAACAAGCTAAAGTTTTGAAATTGGTCTTGTGCTAGAAAAATTAAATTTTCGTGTCCCGAAGCGAAAATTAAATTAAGATGGGCCGGGTCGATTTCTCTTGTCCTGGAGCTGGACCCAGCTCGGCTGGTGACCCGCGTATATCACTGTCCGAGTCTGATCCAGCCCACTATGGCTCAGGCCGAATCATGACCCATGTCGGGCTGGACCACTCAGCCCGTGGGTCAACCCGGCCGACGCCCAACCCTACCCCCAACTATGAAAGAATGAGTCACGTGCATCGCACCCGAG